GAAGAGCTGCCAATTCTGGCTAATTTTATCTTGCTTGCTGTGCTAGCTGTTTATTGTATGGGTTAAATGGCCCATCTGAGTCACAACTTGATTCCGGTACGGTAGCAAGGTATTGGTAACCTGAATGAAGTTGACTAGGATTGCAAAAGAATTTGCCATCACTGTTGAATCTCAGGGTGGAGAGCAGGCTTTCTCCCATAGTGTTTGGAATATGAGGAGGCAGATCTTGCTGTTAGTCTTCCGGCCAGGCACAGCTCTAAATCTTTACTCTTCTAGAAACTCAACCCCACATTCAGGAACAATAAAAACTTTAAGGACTCAATACTGCTGGAAAAACTGCTTTATTTCAGAGAATTTGTTTATTTATTTATTTCCCACTGCAGTCGAATGACTCGCCTGCTTACATAATATAGGAAAAATTATTAAAACATCCACAGTACATTTAAAATGGCCTTTGAATAACTAAATCAGTGTTGTCCAAACTTGGCCACTTTAAGATGAATGGACTTCAACTCCTAGAATTCCCCAGCCAGCCATGGGAGTTGAAGGGAATGAGTGGACTTCTGGGAGTTGAAGTCCACTCATCTTAAAGTGGCCAAGTTTGGACAACACTGAACTAAATAATAAAATCACAAAACCAGCACACAGGATCATAACAAGAAAATAAAACAGAAGACATACGAAAAGAATAACAGATGGCAGAGTGCTTAAACAGAACACTCTCCAAAATAGCTCAGTTTTTTAACACCCTCCTGAATGCCATCAGAGAAGGGACTGTCCGGTGGTGTGTCAGAGCCAGCTTGTGCCAGCTTGCAAGAGCTGATAGCTACATTTTCAGGAATTTTGCAAGCCAGTTAAGAGCAGAGCTGAGCTACGACACCTTGTGCACTGATCAACTGTTCCACAGTTAGTGGCGCGGTGGCAGCCATGGAGCTGGCAACATTTACCAGCACACCACTGGGGCTGCTGGGGCTGTCTGATCTCCATTGGGAGGCTACCTCAAAGCACTATTGCTGCAATTAAGAAGCAGCACCTCCTCATTTCCCAGAAGTCTGGGATTATGAGAAGTTTCTCTCTAGATCAGTATTTCTCAACCTTGGCAACTTTAAGTTGTGTGGACTTCAACTCCCAGAATTCCCCACCTAGCATACTGGCTGGGGAATCCTGGGAGTTGAAGTCCACACAACCTAAAGTTGCCAAGGTTGAGGAACGCTGCTCTAGATGATCTAGTTAAGCTGGGCTGGTTCAGGTTAGAGCAGGCAATGCTGCAAATACCCAAGTGCTAAGCCGTAAAGCGTTTTCTAGTTCAAACCAGCACTTCAAATAGTACCTAGAACCAACTGGTAATCAGGGCAGAGCCCATATTTATTGGTGTTATTGCTCCAAATCCCAGGTGTTAGTTAATACACAGGCCTCTGTGTTCAGGAGCAGTTGTAGTTTCCAAGTAGACTTTAAAGACAACCCCACGTAGAGCACATTGCAGTAATCTGACTGGATGGTGACGAGAGTGTGAGTTACCATAGCCAGGTCCTCTTGCCCCAGCCCAAGCGAGGAAAATCCACTCTAGTCACGGCTTCCTGTTGTTGCTCAAGTAGCAGCCATGAAACTAGAAGGACCCCCAAATCAGAAACCCGCTTCTTCACAGGTAGTGCTTGCCTTCCAGAGATAACTCCAGCACTGGAAGAGAACCACAGTGAACAAACATCCTTTCGGTCTTGCTTGGGTTCAACTTCAGCCCGATTTCTCCTATCCAGACCCTTACAAACAGAAGGAGGTTGGCAGTATCCCCCCTACAGCCTTTGGTGGTGATATATAATTGGGCATCATTGGCAAACGATACTGTACCCCAGACTATTGGATGACCTTCCCCAATGGTCTCACATGGGTGTTAAAGAGAATAAGAGAGAGAGGCAGACAATCTGCATAATGCAGAACACAGAAATCAAGACATTTGTCATGTTACTTTAGATAAATTACAACAGGATCAGGATAACATTTCTAACATTTCAAGGTCTGAGTAATATCTTTGTTAGCACTAGCTAACCACTGTGTATATGTTTGTCTGTTTGGGTTTATGGTATGTGTGTATGAGAGCCCTAGAGTTTAAATCTTAAGCCTTTTCCTCCTGTTCTTCTGAGTTAATTCTTTTCCAGACCTTGAGTTTGGAGTATAGCTTGTCCCATGTTTACACAATGGTCTCCCCTGGCCTGAGCCTTGCTGATTCCTGCTTTGCTAGCTTCAGTCTTTATTTATTTATTTTTATTTATTTATTCAGTTGATTTATCTCCACCCATCTCCCCCTAATGGGGGACTCTATTATTATATTATATTATATTATATTTAATTTATTATTTACTAATTATTTTATTTGTTTATTATTAATTTAATTAATAATTTATATATATATGTGTGTGTGTGTATATATAATTATAGCCATGGTGATCCAAGTTCTACTGCACAATTGCCTTTTTGCCCACTACCTTCTCTTCCTACCCCATCTCCAGAATAGCGTCTTGACCCTGGGTGGAAACTGGATGAAGCTTCTGTTAACATGTACAGAATATGATCCAGACCATGGAATTTTAGAAATTTCACTTTCATCCCTTTATTGAAGGTGAAATGGCACTCTTCTACTGATCTATTTTAAAGGCCCTGTTTCTGCTGAACTGGTAGACAGATCTTGTTAAATTTCAAAGAACTTACCTTTTGAGGCATTTTGCTTCCTAAAATCCACTGCAATTATCAATGTTCTTTGATATTTTACCACTTTTGTTCTTTGATTAGGGCCCAATTCCAAATTACATCTCTGTGGTTATTGAAGATTATGTGACCCTGATAGGCATTCAATGCTCAGACCTGCAGGAGAAGTTTATATACTCTGTGTGTGTGTGTGTACATGTGTATGTGTGTATACATATACATACACAAACACACAGAGAAACATACACATGCTGCATCCCTTATACACGAATGGGTGAGTTCATCTAGTCCCTGCTGCTGGTTGGAAACAGTTGAGGAAGGCAGAGTGTGGCCTGGCTAAGAGACAGGAGCAATACTAGCTTTATCTTGCTATGGAAATAACTGAAAGTGGAATTTTAAAAATTTAGGAATTAAAAAAAAATAATGCAGGTCCACGTCTACCAGGACTACTTAATGGAAAGCAAATGTGGTAACAAGAACCTTTGTAGCATTTGCATCTCCTCTTTTAATGCTATCCCTTGGACTGGACTGAAATCATCCTTGGGACTCCCAGTAACAGGAGGAGACATATTACATCAACAATGAGAAAAATGATCCACATGCTGAACCTACTTTTTTCTCTTCTGCATCTGTGTCAAATGCTATCCAAATCCAAGCTTTCAGGGGCAGAGGTTCTCAGTCTGTGTAGGCTTCAAAATGTCATAATATGACATTCATAAAGTGAATCTAAGCATACAGTGAAGTGCACCTCAGGTGTGTTGTAGCAACATTATATCACATAGTACCATTCTACTGTTTTTTTAAGGAAAACCTCTGCCTTAGAATACTGATTTTTCAAGCCACTAGCCAGGAAGCATGGACTTCTGGAGTCTAAAGTGCTGGATCCAGCAATATACTGCAGGCATTGCCCTGGGGACTTGCCAGGTTCCTTACCCTCATTTCAGCTTACTTCTTCTGAAAGTAATTTAAACACAAAATAAAACAAATAAATAAATACATGTAAACTGGCACACTGCAAAGCAAAACAGCGCCTTATAATATCATCTGGAAAGCTTTGAGCCCCATGAGAACATTCTTAGAAAATAAAAAAAGCAGGTGATTGCAATCCAGGGTTTTGTTTGGAAGAATGTTAATTTATTCACCAAAGCTTCCTTATGAAAGTAATACACCTGTATTACTTTCATAAGAAAGCTTTGGTGAATAAATTAAGATTCCTTGTTTAGTGACCACCTTGGATACCAACTATTCACAGTTACAACAGTGATGAAAAAGTAACTTTGCAACCAATGCCTGCATTTACAACCTTCACAACATCTCTCTCTGTCATGTGTTCACCATTACAGTGAGTTAGCATACCCTGTGCCTGACCTGTTTTTTCTCTCCCCTCCCTGCCCCAAGCAGAGAGGAGAGATTGCCTAAACAAACCATCTCTCCCTGAGCTGCTTTTCTCTGCCAGGCACCAAGTCCCTAAAAGTGCTAACAGCAAGCTCTTGACCTTAATTAGTTGATTAGAACCCTTGGGGGCTGCTGCTGCTGCCTGAAATTGACCACACCCTAATCAGTTTCACACTAAAGGCTTTTGTTAGCAGCCTAAGCAGATGGTGCTAGGCAAATAGCTAGCATTAGTGCATTCCTTTCAATGCGTATTCCCCATTGTGTGTCTGCTTAGGCTCTTGTAATCCCTTCCTCTCCAATGAAGGTAAGACAAACATTAATTCTCTTCTTGCTAATTATCCCAGCACTGGGGTGAGCCTTCCAAAGGGCAGGGAATGGGGAAAAGGGGCTATACGATTTACCCTTTTAGGTGGCTTCCTCATGAGCTGAGTTCTAGAAACCTTTCCCACTATACTTGGGCTCACCCAGCTGTTTGAGATTGTATCCTTCTGACGCTGTGAAGCAAAGGAAAGCTGAAGTAAAATTATAAGCACAGTTGCAGTCCTGTGATTTTTCATTTAGTGACCACTTTGCTTAATGACCAAGCTGCCAGTCCCAATTGCAGTCAATAAATAAGGACTACCTGTATGGAGAGATGGCTAGGAGTTATCATATCAAGTACAAAGTAAGTATAGTGAAGATACAAAACATTTGATAGTGTACCACAATTAGAGCAAAACAGAGCAGCTACCTAATTTCAGTTCTTTAAAAAAATGAGAATATATCAATCAATCAACATTTATTTATGGTCCAAGACCAAACACAAAAGAATATAGTTTGTGTCAAGAAGCCTGCACTGGCGAAATCTGAACTTTTGGGCTTTTTTCACTTTTCTTTTGAACAGAGCTACCACTAGAACAAAGCTATCTTATCCCAGAAAACAGGAACAGCAAACAACACCTAAACTAACTTCTAACAGGACTACACTTACCCAGGACAAAGAAGTAAATGTTATCTTTATAAAGTAATGAACTAAAGGAAAATTCTTATTTTTTTTACTTATACCAGAAAACGTTTTATTTATTTACAATCTTTATATCCTGCTCCCATCCAGAGATACTTTTCATTCATTCATTATATCTGAATAGCCAGTGTAGAACTGGCTCTCTGACTTCCTATTTTTCAGATGTGCTATGATAACATTGGGGTTAAACCCTTGTGCTGCAGAAAATTTCTCAGACTATCAGGGTCCAGTGTTATCAACAGATTTCTATTAGCAGCTATGTTTGGCTTGTACTCTGATTCTTCCATGTAAATTAGGCTTAGCTTATAACAACAACAACAACAACAGAGTCTTGATGGGGTTGATATAAAAGTATAGTAAATAATGAAATAGATTCCCCTTCATCTTTAACCATTGCAAACTGCACAGCGATCTGGGTCTGGATTTCATCCAAATATCTGCTGTCCAATGATCCACTCCCTTTCTAAAAGAGCTCCCTTTTAGAAATTTTCTCTTTTGGAAAAATATATTCAGCAACCCTAAAAAATTAAATCAATATACATTTTACATTTTTAAAAATCAATGAACAGGTGCAAACCTGGACTGAAAATAGAATGATTGTCTTTACTGTTTCACACTTGGACAGCTATTTCCCTGTTATATTTATTCCTTTGGAAAATAATATACAGTATCTGCATGTAGCAAAAATCAGAGAATTGCTTTCCTGTCTTTAAAGCAAATGTATTTATTTTCAGAACTGGGAGTGGGAAAGAGGACTCAGCCATTGCTCTTTTGTCCTAGAAAGATAGTCTGATTTTTGCAACACTTCAGCCTGCAGCTTCCACTCCACCCTTTGGAACGTTTTCCCCCCAGAAATGTGGCTAGCCCCTTCTCTTCCAGCTTTCTGGAAAGAACTGAAGACCTGGTTTTGCCAGCTTGCGTGGGGTAAGAAGAGCTTTAACCAACCCTGGGGGTGGCTAGTGCCCTGATAACGTTCCCCAAGCCTTAGAATTTTAATAACTGTCAATTATCTTCAGAGTTACTTAATATTTGTTTAGGATAAATTATTAAATTGTTATGTTGTATTTTAATTGGTATTTATCTTTTCTGTAAACCACCCAGAGTCATTTTTTAATGAGATGGGTGGTGACAAATTTGATATATAAATAAATAAATTTTTTTTTTTTTAAATCTGCAGGCTTGAGGTCATCAACTATTGATGGCCACATTGAATCTTGATCTTTTGGGAGTTCTGGCTTCCCTCATTCCTTGTTTTCCATACCAACAGTCCAACATCCTGGTGAAAATCTTTGGAGAACTCTAAAAGTTCTTGCACAGGACACACTATCTTGTGGCACATCCTAATGAAAGGGTCACCAAATTGTGGGTGTTCAGATTTTTTTTCCCTTGAGGACCAACTCTAATCTTGATTCTTTTTAAGTAACTGAGTCAGTAGAATGACATAGTCCTACTGTAAAAACTAACTGAAAATTGTGACCAGTCAAGTCCCATTCTATTAAAAAAAGAAAGATCCTAAAATAAGATAATGCAAAGGCAAAGGACGATATGGACTAAGAATGAAGCAAGGTGTTAGAGATCTGGAATGAGGAAATAAATTTGACTTCTACAAGAAAATCAACTACAATGTTAACCATGAAGGAACTGCTCCCACTGAACCTCTCATCCATAATAAATTAATTAATGTAATAGTTCTAGATATGATTTTTTCCAGAATTTCATTAATTACAATTGCAATACCTGCAAAGGTTACACAATGTATTTGTCAGCTGTTAACTGATTAACCAAATATCTCATAAAAATCTTATACCTACAGATACACTCCTTTCACTCAGGAACAGCTAATATTTCTATGGGTGAATAATTGCAAACTTGAAAGTCTGCAGATGTAGCAAAACTTAAAAGAAGTACAGGAAGATCTGTGATGCAGTATTTGCTCCAGGCTGGTAAAGAATAGCTTAGTTGTGGATTTATCCTCTGTATTAGTCCAATTAATTGCAAACTGCTTTATTAAAAACCAGTTATAAGGTAAATATTCCTGGACAAGAAAAGCCTCAGGGACTTCAGACTCTTTGTAGGACAGATGAACTTGATGGACCAGAAAGTCCAGTCACTTTCAAGTCTCCACATGTCTCTTTCCATTCTGCTCCTCATTGTTTATCCACTCCTCCTTTCCTGTGCAGTGACCTCTTAAACTCAGAGCACCACAGCTTCTTCAGTGTAACTTGATACAGAAGGCAGTTTAGAAGAGCTGGTGCAAGCTATTTCATACAGAGAAAAGCTCATCACAGGAGATCTCATTTGCCTGCAATTTTTATACAGGCTGTCCATGAAAAATGAAAGAATTACATAGATAAAGATACCAGGTTTAATGTATGTATGTACTGTATGTATATACCAGACAGTCCCCAGGTTAAGAATGAGTTCTGTTCCTAAGTCAGTCTTTAACTCAAATTTGTATGTAAGTTGGAACTCGTATTACGAATGGACTGGCTATTACTAAAAGTGGTGGATGGCGTTCTCCTTCCTTGAGCCAACAAACCACTGAAGCCACATAATGTTTTCATAAACCACTGAAAACTGCTAAAAACAGGCTGTATATTAAAAATGTGCAGCTTCACGATTTGTGAAAACATCACATGGCTTCAGCGGTTTGTCAGCTCAAGGAAGTACGTTGTCCACCATTTTTAGTAACAGGCAGCCCAATCGTAAGTATGAGTTGTCCATAAATCAAACGTTCTTAGCCCAGGGACTGCCAGTATATCAAACCAACCAATAGCATTAAAATAACAACCTTAAATATTCTTCATTAGGGGTTGAAAAGATCACAAATAAGGTGAGTCTACCTCGGGAGGCTATTCCACAGCTTGAAAGTCACTACTAAGAAGACCTTCTCCCTAGTACCCACCCTCCTCATTTCAGTGGCAGAAGTGCTTTGAACAGAGCCTCTGAAGAGGATCTTAAGACTGATGTAAATGTATGCAGGGGAAACAAAAGATCTTTCAGGGAACCTGAGTGGAAGAACAGCACTTTGCAATAACCATTTTCAAATCCACACTGGAAGGAAAAATATAAAACTGATGTAGAAAAATGTGAAAACCCAATTCAAACACTCCCACTTGTGGAAATAGTAAATCAAGCCAATAGAGCTTTCACACTGTACACTTTCATTATCATCCATGTAACGAACTTTGGGTTTAGTTTTGCACTTTTCTTTCTATTGGGAAATTGAGTACATATCACGATGCCTGATGCATTAGCAGAGTAGAAAGAACATAAGTGATGCCCTGCTGGATTGGATCCCTGGCCCATCTAGTCCAGCAGTCTGTTCTCACAGTGGCCAGCCAACTGCACAAGGAAGCCCACTAGTCTTTCAACAGATGGCCGTCTGAGGCAATTACACTGCTATCAAGGCTAATAGCCACTGATCCCCATAAAGGGCTAAAGCTGCATATTCCCAAGGCTGCTCAATTTTTCCATACCCCTAGTTGAAATAATAAAAATGATATATGTCATCATATAATTCATATCACATCTAGTTTGGTTCTAAGCTAAGTAGGTTTAAAGGAGAAGGGGGAAATCAGCTTTGTACCCAAAGTTACTTGCTCACTAGGATTGTGGCAGAGTCTTTTATGCTTTGGTTCCTGTTCATAAACCCCAAATATCATGAAGCCGTTCATAACTTTTTCATAACCTTCTGGAAGACTGTTCAGCACAAAAGGCTCCCAAACTATTATGAGCTAAACAATCTACTGTATGTGATTTCAACCATTCAACATTACGGGTAAAGTGGAAGTTTAGCTACAATATTTTACAATACTCTGAGGTCAATGGATATAGAACAGCATAGTCAATGGGAAAAGAAGAGAGAAGGGAATAGAAAGCAAGCCTTAAGGGTAAACTGGCTGAAAGATGGGGTCATGTTGGTCTAATACAGAGCTCCTCAGCCTGGGCAACTTCCAGATGTGTGGATTTCAATCCTCAGAATTCCCCAGCATGCATGGTCTTTGCTCAAAATTCTGGAAGTTGAAGTCCACACATCTGGAAGTTACCCAGGTTCAGAATAATTCTTTAACAGGTATTCTATCTGGCAAGAAAGGGCAAAACAACTTTCTGCACTTGTGCCTTTTCTAGTAAGGGGCCAGGTTTATCTATGATAGCCTTCCCAGAAAAAACCATGGATGCAATCTTCTGTTGTCATTGGCTCATGGCTGCAGGTGAGGTCTGAAGCTTTCATGCATTCCTTTTCAGCACAGAAGTCTCTACATCATATATAAGCACCCCACATCAAACATTTGACCTTCATTACCCAATTTGGTCAGCAAAACATCAGAAGCACAAAGCATCTGCAGATTACAAAGCCTCCTGAATTACAAGAGTGTGTAAGTGGGAGATATCACCCAGAGTAACACAAAGAATATCTCTATATAGAGTGGGTTTGAGCTTGATAATCAACTCATGACAAGCCACACAGTCATGATAGTTTTCAAAACTGAGTAAGAGAATCATGCAATGAGCACAAAAATATTGCCATATCATGAATATATATGTCAATGCTATAGTTCATTATTTTTGCTGAACTGTGTGGTGTAAGCGCAAGTGTGGAAATGAATATAACCTTACACCCTACCAAGCAACGTGGAAACCAAGCATGATTCATTCTCATCATTAAAATACTCTGGTTTGTCTCAGAGCAGAGGTTCTTAACCTGGGATCTAGGGACACTTACCCCTTCTTCATCTGCTTAACTTGGCCGAAGACCTCAGGGCTGATCCCACAGCTCCAAAAATGTGCCCTCTTCTTGTCCTATGGGTGGGAGAAAAGTATGGCATTTACAGAGCAGCTGCCCCCACAGCATTACTCTGACCTTGCCACACAAACAAGGTCAGTAGAGTTGCTGTCCTCACATGAGATGGTGGTCCACTATTGCTGCTGTTGGGCAGTCAAGGAGCAAGGAAAGGGGTTCTTCTCCTCCTCTCCTGCCAGCTTCTCTCTCCATCCCCCACGATCTGGATCTTTGCTTTTCCTACTAACCACTGACTTTGGAAGGACTTGTGCTTGGCCCAGAGGCTCCTGCTGAGGCCAGCAGAGATGTTCTCCAGCAAACACAGGGGTAAGGAAAAGAACTGCAGTGGGGAGAGAAACAAGGTTGGCCAAGGATCCACTTCAGGTAGGAGGAGCCCTGTAGAAGTATGAAATGGGGAGGGCAAGGGAGGTAGCAAGACTGGCAGTGTGGGAGGTGGTAGCAGTCTGCATGGCAGTAAGTGGTGGGAAGATTGAACCTTGGGGGAAAATGGCAGCTGGGTGAAGCTCTGTGCTCTCCAGCCAGGGCCAGATTAAGGCCAACTGATGCCCTAAGCACAGCCCAACAATGGTGCCACTTGACAGAAGTGGAACTCTCATGCCATGAGATGGAAATACATGTAATATCTGATGACATCTCCAAACAAAACTTGAAACTTTAGTCATGCACTGTGCCAGAGAAAACCTTTTTTTAACAATGCAAATTAAACTCAAACACAGCAGTTAAGGACAATGACCAAAAATTCAATTAAAGTTGAGTGTGGCAGTAAAAGAGTTAAGGGCATGAGAAATGGGGGCGGGGGACTCTGTGGTGCCCTTCTTCCTATGGTGCCCCAAGCATGTGCTTATTTTGCTTAATGGTTAATCCAGGGCTGTCTCCAACAGCCCGAGAGTCCTGTAGTCAGAAAAGAGGGGGAGATCCTGCAGCAGACCAATTGAAGCCCGGCAGACCACCAGCCTCCCTCAAACTCCTCTTCTATGTGACATAAAATGTTAGCATAGGAGATTTTGTTGCTTCTTCCAGTGGAATGCCCCACTTCTCTGCCAGATCACCAGCAGGATGGCTCCATGGAGTTCCATCATGAGGACAGGTCTTCACCAAACTGTAAGCAAGCCATCTGGGGGTTGGGGCAAGAAGGGTAGGTGGGTGATGTACTGACTAGAACAAGAACAAAGCAAGAACGAAGTCTTACACACCACGGAAGCTTTGCCTTCTGCAATGCAAACAAATCAAAAATTTAATGTTGGTCTATGCTCCAGAATTTAAACTCTGAGCTTTTTTTCTCCCACCTTTCTAAATTGACTTGGCTGTTCCTTTCTTGGTCTTGGAACCAACTGATTTACAGTTGCCTAAGTTCTCTCTAGCCTGGGAACTGCTGGTTGCTGCCTCACCAGATTCAGCCCTAACAGCACTTCCTCTATTTTCTTCTTTCCTTCCCAGTCAGAGTCTAGCAGTGTTACATGTCTCTCCTTCTCACCCCTTTTGGTCACAGGTGCCTGCAAAGTGTTGTGCTCCCTCTTCCCTTTCCATTTCTTCATTGGCTGGAACTGGTGAGATCAGGGGGTGATGGAGGGGAGGATAT